CCTCAAACCCACCAAGCCATTAACAGTAGAGTCTATCATCGAAATATTCCTGGAACCTATACACTCCCTCCTCCCTTTACATTGCCAATCTGTTTTGATTTTAATTATGGAAGACTTAGATTACTGTAATAACTCCCCAACAGTTCTCCATCCTCAACTCTTCAAAGAGAACTTTCTAAAATATACGTTTAATTCCCAATCTGTATTGTAGTCCTCAATATGGTTTCATCTACCTTTTGTCTTTGAGAAGCCTGCTTAAGTTATTTCAGTAGATCCCCAGCCCTTTCAACAAAAACGTTTATGATTAAGGCATTCCTTACCCCTGTGGCTTCTCCTATGGACCCTTACTTAAATGTATCCTTAGCTGTAGCTTTACTAGAATTACCTACAATTCTCTAACCTACCTCTATGCTTCTGTATAAAGTGTTCCCTCTATCTGGGAAGTATTCTTCTAGACTCAACCTAAGGGTCACCTACCTCCTTTACCCGGTGTTGACTTTCAGATACTTACCCTCTGTGCTCCTATGACATCTTCGAAATATCTGTGTCATATACTTATCACACCTGTGATTACGTTTCTAACATCTTACTGATGCTGGGGTCGTTGTTGGTGTTCCACAAATGATGACTAAAGAGCTTGATGAAGGTACACATGCATACACATACTCAGTGTTCTTCCTGTTTCCTTTACATGCTTTCTGACCTCTTCTTATCTCTGTGTTGAACCAGCCAATTGCAAAAGTATTCTTTGTAAATGCCACATCTAGCTTTTTGGAATTCCGTAGAGAAAAATGATGGCAAGCCAAATGAAAATTCTGTCAGATGGCTTATTTCTGCCCATCTATACCTTCCATTACAAAAGAGGGAGATTAAAATATGATAGTTTACCTTCCCTACAATCCAATTAGGACATTACTGGAATAAATAATTATAAATATATGGAAACAATCATTCTGAAAAGAAAACCTGAAGTTTACTCAGGACCCAGATTTGTCCTCCCCACTGCCAAGTTCTCTGCTTTCACATGCTACATACAATGTCAACAGCTCAAAGTAAAGAAACTTTAATAGCATAAGCCCCAGGGAAAAACTGTCCTCAGGTTCAGAAGTTTTTGAAAGGCAGATATTAATAATTTTTAAGGAAGTCTGCTTAGGAATTTCTGTCAGACGGCTATAAAAAAATCAGAACATATGCACAGACTAATAAAATTTAAATTCAGCTATCATTACAAATAAATATATCTTGAATTATAAAGTCAGTAAGGTGATTTTTCAATTTGTGACCTTATGATGGAAGAGGAAAAAACTGTTACATAATACTTAATAATGTCTTTATAATTTCAAATAGAAATCAATAACCTTTTAATAGAAACTGGAGCCTCAATTTAAAAATACTGTGTGATTCTTCTTTTATGAGAAAAAAGCACAATACTTTACCGACCAAAAAGAAACTATTAAGTAGAACTAGATACATAGTTCATCTTACTCAAATTTATTATAAAATAAATAACTGGAGTGCCTTGGTGGCTCAGCTGCTAAGCATCTGCCTTCAGCTCCGGTCATGATCCCAGAGTCCTGGGATCAAGCCCTGCATCGGGCTCCCCGCTCAGCAGGAAGCCTGCTTCTCCCTCTCCGCCCCCCACCCCCGCTTGTGTTCCCTCTTTCACTGTGTCTCTCTCTGTCAAATAAATAATTAATTAAAAAATAATAAAATAATTAAATTAAATTTAAAAAAGAAATTATCATAATTGATGGAAACTCCATATAAAACATTTCTTTTTTTTTTTTAAGATTTATTTATTTGACAGAGAGAGATCACAAGTAGACGGAGAGTCAGGCGGGGGGGCGGGGGGAAGCAGGCTCCCTGCTGAGCAGAGAGCCCGATGTGGGACTCGATCCCAGGACCCTGAGATCATGACCTGAGCCGAAGGCAGCGGCTTAACCCACTGAGCCACCCAGGCGCCCCTCCATATAAAACATTTCTTATTTTGGCAATAAAGGATCAAAACTTTCTATTTACTGAAATTACCAAGAGGATTTTTTCCCTAAATCTCAGCAATGAAATCTGACATAACTGACTTCTACACACTACATTACTAAAAGAATGTGCTTGTTTTTGCTCTTGCTTAGCAAAATGAATTGAAGATCTTTAAAACAGAAGGTCCCACCACATGCCTTCCCAGTTAATAAACAACGTCTATAGACACATATACACACTTAGGGTCAGAGAATCTCTCTTGCTCTCTATTTTTGTACCTTTCATTGCTGGGAAATACATTGTTGGTACCAAACTTGGAAAAATAAAGAGATTTGTAAAAAAGATTAACAGATTCTGCTCCTTTTTGCCAATCTTAACTTTCTGAGGTAAACAGAGTATTAGAGATGTAAGAAATCTGGACTGCATAATTCAAAATTTTTTGTTTGTGAAGAGAAGATAAGACCAAAAAGGTTGAATGACAAGTCTAGGGAGAAAATGAGAGAATGGCAGATTTTTAATCCAGACCTCTTAATGAATTAAGATGTAACCATATCAAAGACATCTTTGGGGAAAAAAAAATCACTTCACCCACCCTATAATAAAAAGGTATAGAGTAGAACAAAGTTCTTTATCTAATAGTCCACAAGCCAAATGGAAAACTAGCAAACCATTAGTCAATTTATCTGTTGGGCACATACTAGAGAAAGCAACAATATTTTGTTTCGTAGAAACAAGACAGGTGTTGGGAGTCAGAGAAACTTAAATTTGAATTTGGATCTGCTCTTATTTGTGACAAATGTCTCTGAGGCCTAATTTTTCTCATTTGATAAAATGGGGGGAAATTATTCTCTTGCGGCCCTTTTAAGAACTAAATAATATACCGTAAGTGAAATATCTAGCATGTTATGGAATTTCAATAAAAGTCACCCACTTTTTAAGATTTATGCAGGGTTTAAATGAATGTATTCTGTAAGGTTTTAGATAATATGGAATAGTGACAAAAGCACAGAGTTTAGAGATAAAGGTCTAGGTCAACATCCCAAATTTGCTCCGAACTATCTGTTCATAACTGGTCCCAGTCACTTATCTTCTCAGTTATCTCATATATATGAAACAAAGATAATGATATTTGCCATACCAAGGTCTCAGGGATACTTTAAAGATCAAATACGAGGGGCGCCTGGGTGGCTCAGTGGGTTAAGCCTCTGCCTTCGGCTCAGGTCATGATCTCAGGGTCCTGGGATCGAGCCCCGCATCGGGCTCTCTGCTCAGCAGGGAGCCTGCTTCTCCCTCTCTCTCTCTCTGTCTGCCTCTGCCTACCTGTGATCTCTGTCTGTCAAATAAATAAATAAAATCTTTAAAAAAAAAAAAGATCAAATACGATAATCTCTGTGTAAGCACTTTCTAACTATAAAGTACCTTATATACGTTATTGTTACTATCAAGAAAATTAACTGCATTAAAAAATAGCCACTTCCTACAAAGCTTAGAGAACTGTGCTTTGGCTGTCTCTCTTAATAGATATTATGCTCTATGAAAGGAAGAGAACGTATTTGTGTTTTCTATTATTATAACCTCAAAACCCGGCACAGTGCCTGGCATATCGGTGTGCTCAATTAATATCTTCCAATGAATGAATGCTTTGTATCCCTGAACAGGGCTCAAGGTAGTTAATAAGGTTTGTTGAATGAAGAAATGAGGAAAAAGATGTGCTATGACCTTCAGGATGTCCTAACTTTGCCCAAAATTAACACCAAAGCACATTTGTATGACTTAAAGAGATTGGAATATTTTATAATGGAAACCAAACAAATTCCAGCTAGATCATTACCAAGATTTCTGGTCTTGAGCAAGTCACTAAATAGCTCATTTATACGTTGTAATATGAAATTATACCACTTTCCTTATAGGTTTCCTTTGTTTTTGTAAGGATTAAAGATTAGGCAAATGTCATGCTTTTACAGATCTAATCTGCACAACAATAATGCATAACTGGTAAGGACATGAATCAATATGTTCATACTATTGATTAGGAAATCAACTCAAAGTATGGATGGCTTGTTCCAAACTACATGGTTTCTAGAAAGAGAACTAGGACTTTAACATAGGTTTTCTCATTCCTGTTTTATCACTCATATTATGTCCCAACTACTTCTTGTAAGGGCTGTTGTAAAGGCCAAAGGAGGTAACAAGTTAGCCTCAAATGTTAAATGACCATAAATAACATTTTCTTTATTGGGAAATGGAAGAAAGTCTGAAACAAAACTAGTAATGCCCTTTTTTAATAACTTCTTCCCAAATAGATAATACACCACCTTTGGGAATAATCCATGAAGCTATTTAGTAGGCCTCAAAGCACTGTATAGGCTAAGGGAAAAGAACCCACTCTGCTAACAATTTAAAAAAAAAAAAAAAAAAACACCTCTTTACCAATATGTCAAATAAAATAAGTTCTTTTCTTTGGCCTACTGGTAAAGAGATTAGGAAAATTAAAATACTTTAAATATAGCAATTACTAAGAATCATACTCTATAATGTCTTTAATGTCATTTTTTCTTACTGGAAAGAGGACAAAAATGACAGTATAATAAATGTTGAAACCATAGTAGTGGTTTCATGTTACCAGAAATGTGATTTTCTAAATAACAACAGAACAGATTAGTGTTTGTTATTCTCCTGCTCCCAGAGACAAATTTTTCAGGAAAATCAAACCAAAAGGATAGAGTGATTATTTGTATTTTTAAGAAACCAACTGTCTAATTTTCTTAAAGCTCACTTAAAACGATTTTCCTTTAAATTTCAAATAGACAACTTAATAGTTTTTCCCCATGATTAGAATTAAATACTCTCTTACGTCTCCCATCAGAGAATCTGACTATGTTCTTTCATCTGGGAAGGGAGAGAAGGTCCAAAAACCCTCTGGATAAAGTGCTAGGCAACCAACACTTAAAGAAATCTCTATTTTTCTCTGAAACATACCCAGTTATTATATAAATCATTAGATGCAAAAAGAAATAAAATACCTTGGAAGTCCTCAGAATTGGGCAACTTGACACCACATACAAAGTAATCCTTATGCTCATTCTGTGAATATAACCAAAGAATGAAATTAATTCTTTTTCCATGTAAAGCAAAGAAACCCTAAGTCAAATCTCGAAGAATTCAGGAGGTCAGTGTTAACTCAAAGACAATACTGTCCTACACTCAGAATATTATCATAATGATAATATTGTTGAAGCTGGGCGACGAGTATATAATAATTCATTATACTGCTATCTGTACATTTGTATATACTTGAAATTTTCAATAATATAAACATTTAAAACATCATGTCCAAGCAAAAAGCCATGTAAAATTTTTATTACAAAAATATCCCTTGATCAATTCATAGTTATAAATGAAGATTTTTAAGTGGAATTAACAAGATTCTGTGAGCAACCTAAAATCCCATTAGCTTTCCTCTCAGAAAATTAGTCTTTTAAATCGTTTTTCATTAAAAAGAAAATAAAACCTTCAAATTTAGTGATCTGGCTCTCTAAAAAAGAATTCTCATCATTTTAACTTTAGTGAAGTTTTATTTTTCACATTTACTTTAAGAAACTAGTTTCAAAAACTTCACATCCTGACAGTTACCCCAGGAATTTCCTAAGTAGTACTAATACAAATTAATTACCAGTTATATTTTTAAAGCAGTACATATACAATTCTGCATGTATGTGTCAGAATTGATGGTAGTTGATAATCTAGCTGAGTAAAAAAGATCTTAAAGAGACCAGAAGTTATTTGGCATTCTTTCAGATGAAGTTGAGTGCATTCCACCACCAAACTGATACAAAAAAACAAATGGACCCACTAACATGCACCCACTTTTTAAATAGATATTAGCTTCTGAATGAATCATGACAGCGCATGTGATTAATACTGGTGCAATGAGTTTATTAGTATTTCCTTTTTAAATAATTTTTCCTCTTTTTTTTAATTTTTATTAACATATAATACATTATTTGTCCCAGGGGTACAGGTCTGTGAATTCGTCAGGCTTACACACTTCACAGCACTCACCATATCACATACCCTCCCCAATGTCCATAACACAACCATCCTCTCCACAGACCTCCCCTCCCCCAAGCAATCCTCAGTTTGTTTTGTGAAATTAAGTCTCTTACGGTTTTTCTCGCTCCCTATCCCATCTTGTTTCATTTTTTCCTTCCCTACCCCCATGGCTAAAGATGATGTCATATATATATATATATATATATATACACACACACACACACAATGGAATATTATGCAGCCATCAAAAGAAATGAAATCTTGCCATTTGCAACAAGGTGGATGGGACTAGAGGGTTTTATGCTGAGCAATGAGTTTTTTCATTGAGAAAACATTTCAAATGGAAACAATCTTTAAAAAAAAAGTTTTCTTTCCAGAAAATTTGAAACTTACCAAATCAATAGGATAAATGTAGGAAAGTTCAGATAGTAATTGCCTGCAACGAATTGTCAACTGAGCATTCGTCTTCAGACAGAGTTCCCTGATGAGCAAAGATAAAAAGCAAACTTGTTTAAAAAAAAAAAAAAAGTTTTCATGCTTGTTAACATTTATTTCCACATAATTGATGTGGAGGAAGATTAAATGGCCTGCAGTAAGCCACAGAAACACAGTAGTCAAGAATAATAGCTAACATGACTCCTGACCTGTCTCTAAATAGTATAAATCAAGATAAAATATACTGAGGCCTATTGTATGTGTCTAACACCATGCTAAGAGATGTAAAGGGTAAAAATAATCATTAACCGAGCACCTAACACTCTATGTCAGGAGCTTTATAAATGGCTTTAATCATTACAACTCAATTAGGTTGATATCATTACACCCATTTTACAAACAAGGATACATACAAAATTTAGAGAGACTCAGTAAGCAGACTAGGGTCTCATTTAATCTGAGGCCAATCTGATTTCTGATTCTTTTAAGGAAGTCTTCGCTTTCTCACTCATAGCTACCTCAAAAAATAGCCTGCTGCCATATTCAGAAAATAAAAGAATAAAAAGAATAAACAGTAAGTTGTGGCAAGAGATGTACCTCTTCTCTTGAACTAAAGACATAAGACCAAGAGATAAAACATCTATAGGATAAATTAACCTGCTCAACTGTGTTAACGATTTAAGAAAAAGAGGGATTCAGAAAAACTGTAGGTCACAGTGGAATGTAAAAGTAGTAGGAAACACGAGGAGTACTAAAGACCTAAAGGGATCTAGTCCTGTTTTCCTTGTGATCAGGACAAAGTAACTTCCCAGAGCCTTGCCTTCCTATCTGCAAATTGAGAAGATCAGACCAGATGATCTCCACGGTTCTTTCCAGGTCTAACATTCTTGAATGCTCAACTGCTAAGGTTTCTTGAAGAAAAATGTAGGATGAGATGGCTTTCCAGAAAAAGTGAGTAAACATGAGCAAAAGAACAGAGGTGGCATCAAATTAAGCATGTGCTGGAAGAAAATAAAGAGAAAAACTATTAGCATCTGTTAACTGAATGCTGTGGAGGACTGAAATTAGCTACAGTTGTATAGTGCCGATTTATTGAAGGTTATTTGAAAATTAAGCAAAATAATCACCATGACTTCTTAAGAGGAGAAAAAATTATGGTAAACCTCATATTTTAACAGGAGAGGTCTGGGGTGCCTGGGTAGCTCAGTCGGTTAAGCGTCTGCCTTCAGCTCAGATCATGATCCCAGGGTTCTGGGATCAAGCCCCGCATCAGGCTCCCTGTTCAATGCTTCTCCCTCTCCCTCTGCCTCTCCGTCTGCTCATGTGCGTACTCTCTCTCTCTCAAATAAATAAATAAAATCGCAAAAAAATAAAAATAAAAAAGAGGAGAGGTCTGGTAAGCAACATGGAGGATGAACTGGAAAGACAGACTGATGTTAGATAAGCTAGAAGCTGTGGCAGTAATCCCAATGGACTAACACTAAACAGGAGTAAGTCTGAAGAAATGACTGAAGAAAATAAGCTACCCTATTGTAGAAGATGGGAAGAGAAGATTCAGACATTAAGTCATGGTGCTGTGGCCTTAAACACTAGAAAAACAAAGTTCACGTTTCTGATTATGACTATACATTAGGAACTCTTGTAATGGCTACAATACTGAGTAGATGCTTCATAAATATTCGTTGAATAAATTAATGTGGCACCGACGTGTGCAGAATGTAGGTTAATACCACCAGCTTTCAGAGAATGCTACTTTTCCAAATCCCATCCTCAAAGCAAACCCAACACTCTTAACCATTATTCTCAGGGCCATGTTTACCTTTTTGCAGTACACTCCTTCCTTAATTCATTCAGGGATTCCTTCTGGAGTTGAAGCTTGAGGTGCTCAGCTGAAAACGCACTTCCTAGAGACAGAGGGAGACAATTCCCGATGTAATACTGCAGATAGGACTGCTTACCAACAACCAAAAAGGCAGAGCCCATCCCCTGACCCTGAAGGAATAGAGTTCGGAGGCAAAGTAAGCTGGGTATAGAGGTCTTCTGGAGGGTTCACTGGAAAAAACCTCCCAACTTGTTCAATTTGACACAAGTCTGGCCTCTAACAGGAATCAAAGAATAAGAGTCTCTGCCTCCAGATTTCTGGATTGCTAACCAAGAAACCCTGATGAGATTTCAAAATTCAGACTTTTTTTTTTTTTTTTAAAGATTTTATTCATCCACTTGACAGACAGAGATCACAAGTAGGCAGAGAGGCAGAGAGAAAAGAAGGAAGCAGGCTCCCCGCTGAGTAGAGAGCCTGATGCGGGGCTCGATCCCAGGACCCTGGGATCATGACCTTAGCCGAAGGCAGAGGCTTTAACCCACTGAGCCACCCAGGTGCCCCCAGACAACTTTGTTTTAAAAGAAAGTTGCTGTGGACTCTAGGTGTTCCTGCTTATTCACTGAAGGTTCATCAATTATAATAAACAGACCTTTCTGGTGAGGGATGTTGCTAATGGGGGAGGCTATGCAAGTGTGGGAGTTTGCAACATATGGCAAATCTTTACAAGTTCAGCACAATTTTGTTATGAACCTAAAACTGCTCTGAAAAATGAAGTTAATTTTCTAAAAAAGTGGTTAATTTCTTTTCACCTACAGATGCTATACAACATTTCTGAAAGTATAAAAAGTAGAACAGAAAAAATTACTTGCATTTTGACTACTTATTATTAGTTCATAAATATAAGTAGTTTTAGCTACAATCACAGTGTGTAGGAAATGTATATTCTGATTTTTCCATATTATGTCATAAGCATTTTTACATGTTGACAGATAGTCTGAGTTGTAATGTTTAATGGCTGTGTAAAATTCAACTCCATGGATGTGAATTATATGAATATTCCACATTTTAACTGATACCCCATATCCCAATCCCATTACAGAACATTTAATTTCCTTTAAGTGTTTGCTTTAGCTCTACACAGAGATTTGTATTTGTTTATATGCCTGTTGTTGTATTTATATCAACTTTTGTAACCCACATTTCCATTTATGTGATCATAAAGTCCTTTCACGTCTTCCTATTCTAAGAAATGAGAGCATCTTCTGTCCTTGACAATCCAGACCTGATAACACCAGAAATACTGAGGCACAGAAAAACATTCTTAGATCCAGACACACTAATCTCTGGATCTTACAAAGGGAATTAGTTTCATAAACCGCAATCCAATAGGAAAGGGGGCCTTCAACTAGTCTGCACATCTCCTGCAGGAAGGAACAAGAAGTACATTACTGACCATAATACAGTTAGACCTCTGCATAAATTCACCAACCTAAGTAATTTTATCAACATATTTCTCTCCTCTCTCAACTGTATTTAAATGATCCATACGTTGTTAACTTTGCCCCCCAAACCGAACATAATCAAGGAACACCACTTATCTTTTTTAGCCACAGTATAGGTCCTCCCCAAATATTCACCCTCCATGATTTCAGATGACATTCAGGTTGACAACCTCCACCACCCACCCCATGTATGTGTTGAACAATTATCAAATATTTGAAATTTTCCAGGTATCTATCAGTGATTTCTAGTTTCTTTCTTTTAGTCAGAGACCGTATTATACATCATTTGACTCTTTCGTATTTGCGATAACAACTATGGCCTAACTGAATATTCCATGTACACATGAAAAAAGGTATATTCTGCTGGTGTGCATTGCGGTGGTCCACTCTTAATCAGGTCAAGTTAGTTAGTAGTGTTGTTAAAGTCTTTTCACCTTACTGATTTTGTCTTCACTTGTTCTATGAACTAGTGAGAGATAAGTGTTGTGGTTTCCAGCTACAAACATAGATTTGGTTATTTTTTCTTTGTTCTACCAGTTTTTACTATCTATATACTCTGAAGCTCTGTTATACATATTTAGAATTATTATGTCTTTTTGTGACTGACTCTTCCACCACAATGTTTTTAAAATCTGTCTTTATCACAGTTAATATTCATCGTTCTGAAATCTTTGTCTATTATTAATATAGCCACTTTGGCCTTCTTTTAATTCATATTTGCGTGATGTACTATTCCTATTCTTTTGCCTTTAATCAATCAATCTACCTTTACATTAAAAGTGGGTTTCTTAGAGATAGCATTTATTTGGGTCTTTTTAATATAAAATCTGAACAATCTCAGTGTTTTAACTGAGATATTTAGACAGCTTACACTTAATATAATTGATGTTTAGCTTAAAATCTACCATTTTGCTAGTTGTTTTCTGTATGTTCCACCTATTCTTTGCTCCTTTATCTTTTTTTATGCTTTTGGATTGAATATTTTTTACCATTCCCTCTTTCTTCACTACTGGCTATCTTACCTCCATTTTAAATTTTTAGTGGTTGCCCCAGAGTTTACAGTATATAACATCAATACATAAGTCCAACTTCAAATACTATTATACTACTTCATGTAGAATATGATTATATTTATACTACTTCATGTAGTATATTATACTACTTATACTACTTATGTAGTATACTACTTCATGTAGAATATAAAAAAATTATACTACTTCATGTAGAATATAAAAAAAACTGTAAGTACCATACTCCCATTTCTTCCTTTTCCCACTGTTCACATTCCTCACACATTTTACTTTACACATGTTTTAAATTCCAAAACATTGCTATTTTTGCATTAGAAAATAGTCCTTCATAATTATAAGTAAGAAAAAATGTGTTTATAATATCTTAAACCATTTCTGGATATCTCATTTTTTGTGTGTAGAGCCAAGTTTCTGTCTGTATCATTTTCCTTCTGCTGAAGAATTTTTTTTTTCTTTTCCTTTTTTTTTTAAGATATATTTATTTATTTCAGAGAGAGAAAGGAGAGAATGAGAATGGGAGGGGCAGAGGGAGAAAGAGAATCTCAAGCAGACTGCGCACTGAGCACAGAGCCTGACTTGGGGCTCAATCTCATGACCCTGAGATTATGACCTGAGCTGAAACTGAGTCAGAAGCTTAACCAACTGTGCCACCCAGGTGCCCCAAGAATTTCTTTTAACATTTCGTAAAATATAGGACTGGTGATAATGAATTATCTTAGTTTTGTCTGAGTCTCTTTGCACTTCAGTTTGGGTAATTTCTATTGATTTATATTCGAGTTCACGTATTCTTTTCCTAGTTGTATCACATTTACGGAAGAGTCTGTCAAAGGCATTCTCCACCTCTGTTACTGTGTTCTTTCTTTACAGCATATCCATTAGACTTGTATATTTTATAGTTTACATCTCTCAGCTGAAATTTACTACCTAGTCATGCTTGTTATCCACCTTGCCACAAAAGCCTAAAGCACATTAATCGTAGTTATTTTAAATTCTCTGATAGTCCCAACATCTGAGTCACTGCTGAGGTTTTTTTCTTCTTCTGAGTTAATTTCTTCTCAATAACATTTTGTTGGTGGTATTGGGTGGGGGGAGAGATAATGATGGTTTTTTCCATTTTTGCTTTTCCTTGTCTCAAAAATTTTGATTGAATACTCACCATCATGTGCAACAGAGAACACAGGACAATAGAGCAAGAAAAGAGCATGCATCTTCTGCTGTTATGGGAATTGCATCAATACAATTAGGAACTGGGCTGCGTTTGAGTTTTGTGGTTGCTGTTTTGTTGTTACCTTCAGTGTAATGCATTCTTCAAATTTCCTCTAACTCCTCCTTACTGGAGGTGGTGATGGCGGTGATGATCTGCGGGAGGCTTTTGCTCAGTGAACCTGTTCCACACTCAGATTTGGGTATTCCATGTAAACCCGCACTGAAACAAGAGCGAGTCACTCCTCAGATGGCACACTGTGGTGGCTCTCCAGCCTGGTTGGGGAGGAGAGCAGAGTTTTTCTTTCATCTTGTTTGAGTTAAACAGACCCTGTGTCCTTAGGTATCAGGTAGGGCTTTCTCAATGATACTGTCCTTCCCTTAGGGATAGAAGGTTTCTAACAGTCCAGGTGCAACAAGGTTCCTGCCCCACCCTTAAGGGCAATGTTTTTTTTCTTCCCCCAGTCCTTCACCTATGCCCAGGGGATTGCAGGGCTTAACAGCTCCTCCTCCAGAGGCTTAATGCTTTTGTTCTTAGAGAAGAGTTGTGCTTTCTAACAGTATCCACTCCCATCCCTCTAGACCTATACCACACCAAGGGAGGCTTTCTACATCTTCTACCCTGTCTCCAATCTTTCTTGTGAATATCCAGTGTAGATTCACACAGAATAAACTATACACAGGTGTGAACTGCCTTCTAGTTGCTATATAGTCTTACAGGAGTGCGGACTTAGTGGTTAGCAATTTGTTAAAAATTATGACTAAAATATTTCGCCTTCTTAGACAGTGGCCCAACTTCCCCCTGTGCTCTGCTATTAGTGAGTCAGCCCTCATATCCTGTCTCATCTTTTCTTACGTATCAGGCTCCTTGGTTGACCTGTAATCTTAGTTCTTTAGATTCAAGAAAAGTTGAGTCTGTACATTACCCAGCTTTCTCTTGTTGTCAGGGTGGAAATGAAGTTCCTTCTACCTTTTTACATCCTAGGCAGGTGCTAGAAGTCGAATCTGATTCTTTGTATTTTCTGCTCCTTTTGGGTCTGCTATTCTGTTTGTTCAACTTGGGCTAGTTCATACTGTTTTCCTTAAATATATGATGACCCTTGGTTTTCCCTTCAAACCCATGAACGGGGGTGCCTGGGTGGCTCAGCTCAGCTGGTTAAGCCTCTGCCTTTGGCTCAGATCATAATCCGAGGTCCTGGGATGGAGCCCTGAGGCAGGCTCCCTGCTCAACAGGGGGCCTGCTTCTCCCTCTGCCTCTGCCTATGGCTTTCCCTGCTTTCCATGGATGTGGCTCTCTCTCTCTCTCTGTCAAATAAACAAATAAAATCTTTTAAAAAATCCATGGA